AGCCCATCTAGTGTCATTCTAGAATCTAGACCAAGGCTCACTTCTCTGTCCTTCTCCAGAACTCATTGAAGCAGCTGAATGAGAATATTCCATTGTAGCCTGTTTTATTAAGAAGGGCTAAGACCATTAAAAATCTATTCCAAATAGTGTCGGTATCACTGACCTTAAGATTCTAGAATTAGCATCCGTAGCCTTGCTCTCCCTGTCCTTACATAGATCTGAACCTGACACAAGAATCATACCTTATTTGGGCTTAGTTTTGTAGCTTTGAGCTCTTTGTACTTCTAAGTTGAACCTGTCCTTAAAATGTGGTGATATATATGTGTGTTATCTCTTCTCATGGTAGGCAGGAACACCTCTGTTTCTAGGTAGAACATAGCCTGTAGTCCCTTAGTGCTTTGCCTACCAGAGGAATGATCTCTACAATAGCTTCATACTTCCCAACACAGTACATGACAGCAACATTAAAAGCTTGCTTTGAAAATTCAACTGAATTAAATATACTGTTGTTATACAATACTTAACATACTTCCTGAAAGAACAAATAAATCACTGTGTTATTTTGGATTTCTTGAACTTGTAAGCATACATATAGATGACTGCAACATTTGAAAGAGCCTATTAATTAATATGTATGAAAACATGAACATTAGCTGTTTTTTCAACTTTATATTTTAAGAGAGAGTTATATAGCATGGTAGAAGTCATATATGTATAAACTAAAGAGTTCCAATTATTTCTTGATTATTCTCTTTTCCACATGACTTGAGTCATTATGAAGATCCCAGATGTTCATAATTCTTATTAACAGTAGTTCACAAGTAGAGCAGGGGAGTGCTGTCTCCTTTTGTTTGTCTCAAGCATCTGGTGATCATAACTAGACTGCCTCTGAATAAGGAAGTTTAATAAGGAAGCTGTTTAGCTTTGTGGTAGAGCACATGTTTTGCATGCAGAAGTCCCTAGCTCAGTTCCTGGCATTGTAAGTACAGTGGCGCATAATAAATAGTGGGTAAAATCTCTTTTGGAGAGCTGCTGCCAGTCAGAGTAACCAATACTGGTTTAGATGGACTAATAGTTTATTCTGGTGTAAGGCAATTTCCTATATTTCTCCATACCATAATTAACATCCCAATTCTTCAATGTTTCATTAAAAAGAAAATGTTCCCACTCCTGCCCTGATCATTTTAGATAACCTTCTCTGTACCTTCTCCGGCTCTTTGGTATCTTTTCAGAGATAGCTGGTAATTCAGTCTTCAGGAATATAATATTCTACAAGTGTAGATTTATATAATGATATTAATTTTAATTCATAATGCTTGTTTTTGCCTTTCATTGGTATGATACACAGAGCTAACAATTTCAGCGACACTGAATCTTTTCCTTGAGTAGTTACAGATAATTTAGAACAAGTTGCTATGTATGTTGTTATGATGGTATTATTATTTCCCAGAATTCATCACTATGCATAAACAATCTCACTTGCTGCTAGAGCCTTCTGAGCTCTTGGGTGCTTGGGATGTACTCATAGTAGATACTTTGGTGACATCTGTAAACTTGTCTATTTTACTATTCACCCCAGCTGCAAATACTTTATGAATGGGTTTGCGGTTTGCTTATTCCCATTGTGCAAACTGCCTGTTTATTCCTATTCTCTGCTCCTTGTTTTCTCACAAATTATTCGGCTGTATAATTCAAAGACCTGTATGTTTCCAGGCACCCACAAGCAATTCTATAATATTAGTGAGGGAAACCTTCTCTCTGGAAAAAGCAAGTGAATTTCTTCCTTATTCTTGCATGTGTCGGCTGACCTGCAACAGGCACTAGATTGACTGGTGTATGATTTTCCTCAGACCCTTCTGAGGATCTCAAATATTCTAAGGTGGTTAACCCTATGGTCCTACTTTACCAGTTGGTGTACATCCACCTTTCCCAACCTAGTGCCCTCCAAGTGTTGTACTGCAGCTTCTGTGGTTCCCCGTCGGCATAGCCAATGGTTGGGCATGATGAGAGTTGCAGTCAAAATATCTGGAGGGCACTCGGTTGGGGAAAACTGGGGAACAAAGTCATAATCCCATGCACTCAGAGTGGCATGGGCAATACAACTAGAGTAGGAGAAATAAAAGCTGAAGGACCAATACTGCATAATTGTAGTGCTCACCAGTGCTTTTTTTGTAAGAAAAACGGTGCCGGAACTCATGAAATTATTTATCTTTCGCACATGGTCAATCACTGTACACACACCCACACATGTCAGTTGTGTAACGAAACATAACGGTTGCCGCCCGCAGTAAGCACTCAGCGCACGACCACACGACCAATCACAAGCCGAGCAGCACCACAAGCCGAGCAGCGCCATCACAACCAGTGCAGGTGAAGTACGCATGTATCGGATTTGACACACAAGCAGCCTGCATGCACCGTTTTAATGATTTTGCCGCCAACCTGCTACACTCGACAGGGCGATTCAAATCCACATGGACCAAACATCAAATTTTCAAAAGTTACTTTTAAAACTTGGAAAATTTGTCAAAATAAGGTGCCAGAACTCCATTCCGGTGCGTTCTATGACAAAAAAATCACTGGTGCTCACCAATAAGAAGTTGCTATCTGAGATCCTTATTCCCTAGCAGCTAGTAGTTTATACACTCCTGATGGTGTGTTGTACCTCGAGATACCTCGAATGCTAGCCTCCATTGCAGCGTCGAAGGGAAGAAGGAGGGACAGCCATCTAGGGGCATCTTCTGTCCTGAAAAGGGATATGTGTAGCACTTTTTTGCAATGCTGGCAATGGAAGGCAGAACAAACTTCTGGGTGAGCACTGTAGCCTACCGCTGCCCCTGACAGCCACAGTAATTCTGTGTAAGTCTACATATTTTTCTGGAGAAGGCTACCAAGGACTACAGGTCCGGATGGCTAAATGCTGCTTCCAGTATCAGGGGCAGCATCCCTACATATACCACTTGCTGGGGAGCATATAGTAATGCTCCTCCTCATCTGATTGTGTAACTCAAGGATATCGGTGTGCTGCAGTTCTCAGGAATAGGCAGGTGGGGTGGGAGGAGAATATAACTCCTGGAATGCAAGACTAACACTTCATAATAAAAAGACAATGCTCCAACTTGGGAATACCCTTATAATAGTAGACAGAACTGGCATGAATACATTCACTTGACTAATGCAAGCGTACTGGAGTATATCTTGCTTTTTTTAGGCAACACTCTTGCTTTCACAGTTGCCGCTGTCCCAGTGATTTCTGAGCAGTGAAAGTAACTCCCCTTGTTGCTCCATTCCTATGTTGACATTCCAACTACAGAAGAGAAAAACAGAAGTTATACTGCAATGTCATCTAAAACAGATTTGTTAAAAAGAAATGTGAATATAAATCAAACATTTGTAGTTGCCAGTCCTGAGGGCCACAATCCATGGGCAATTCATTCAAATCCAGTCTTAGAATTGCATGCTAGTGGCCTGCTGGGCACTGTCTCACACACAGAGAACAATACTTGTGGAAATAGAATTCCTAAGCTTTGCAGGAGAGAATTGAAGAAACAGGATTTGTTTTAACCTTTTCTCTACTTGCCAATGATGGTACCCTAAGAGGAAGGCTCTTTGGCAGTTATACACTGCTAAAAAAAAGTGGAATTCCATTACAAACAAGGACAAAACCAACTTGCACGTGCAACTGTGCAATATGTGTAACTTTAGAAATAACAACTATAATTTAAATAGTAATGCAACACATCTTGCCATATTTGCTTGTGTGGCTGCTCAGTCTGCTGCCCAGGTAGTGTTTACTGTTGCTGGGCAACTTCAAAGCCCTTGTTATTCTCTCTCTCTATCTCTGCTTTCCATGAAGCCTAGACTTTGGGCTGGTAAGCCCATCAAATAGAGGACATCTTCAAATAGAGCACTGCCCTCTGCTGCATCTCAAAAATAAAAGATTGTCCTCTGTAATGTATGACACCTGGCCACCCTAGCGCACAGAAAGAGCAAAGCACACCCCCCTCCCAGGTGTGGCACAGCATAAGTACCTTTTGAAGTAAATGAAGTAATACATATTGCAATCTAAAGAAGTGGGTCCAAAAACGCCCTTATCTAACTGCACTGCCACAGGCCAATTCTCTCTTGCAAACAACCTCCCTCCAGGTGGCTTTTAACAGTGATCAGATTATATGAGGTGCAGAATGAGTCTGGTCCTATTCTGTTTTGTGTTAACCCAGTTAACTACTGGGAACCCTACTACAGCTAAAATTAGGGGATATCAGTTATTAGTCTTGGGGATTTTGTTAGGAACTCATATACTAAGAAGTTCCCCACATGCTCTGAACACTGATGTTTAGAAATGTCATATATATAACTGGTGTTGTTCTTTAATAATAATAATTTTTTAAAAAACTCTCTGTGGCCTCTGAGATATAGACCCTCAAGACCTAGTGTTGTTATTGCATTGAAGGCCTGTTCTCATAGTAACTGGAGACATTCTGAAGGAGGGGAGACACACCTATGTATGCACACATAATCACTTGAAATATTTATAGATGGGGCATGAATCCAGTAAAATCTACTGCAGAGCCTAGGTGGAAAAGAGAGGTCGGGAAAGGCAGTTGGCAGTTGCAGGATTGATAGTTTGGGATGGAGAGAATCTGTTAGAAGAGAAAGGAGAGACCATTTGGTAGTTGGTGGTGTTTTGGGAGGACTAGGAGAAAGCTGAGCTTCATGTCAGTCCTCAGCTGCGTACGTAAAACATCTTCTACAAGATACAAATGTTTCCTAAAATGTTAAATATAGCTAGCCATTTGGTAGTTGTCCATGCCAATGTCAATGCCATTCTGTTTTACAAGGGCAGGGACACTTTGTTCTTTTACAAGGTATCTGATATGCCTGAGCAAGCACACAGCTGTATATTCCCTATTGCTCTGTAATAAATGTTTTTAACATCAAAACTGGTCGTACTTCCTGCATTTCCTGTGCACTGATAAACATTTTGATCTTTTTTTCAGAACAAGCCATCAGAGAACAAAATGGTGGTAGAGAAGTTCACAACACCATCCGTGGCACAGCTGGCAGGAAAATTCCAAGATCAATTACCCCTTTCTGGAAAGGAGGTTAGGTACAATTCAGCCACAGAGTGGTTTATATTATTTAAGTGATGCTTTCATGTATGTGTAAATCATGTTGAATGCATGCATGCTCATGATCTATGGATCAGAACAAGTCATGTATTTGGTTTTCATTTTTACTCTACCATTATTACTATGCCAGCCTTGTGCAGTTAGTCTTCTAGAACTGGTTAGTATAAATGTACTAGTCTTATGAACAAAAGCCATTTCAGTTGACTGGTGTTGCTCTCTAGTAGCTTTTCCAGCTGATTGATGTTGCTCTCACATTGCTCTTCTGCAATACAATAACATACAATAGAAAATACAGTAACAATAAAACATCCTGAAGCACAATACAGAATGTACAAAAACATTTTTTTAAAAACTACAATAACGTACACAAATTAAGTCACAAGACCTGTTAATTAGTTGACATAATGTCCCAATCAAATATAAAATTAATTAAATGCCCTGTCATAGAGGACAGAAATGGATTGGAGGACAACCTACCGATGAAGCATTCACAAGACAACAGATAATGATTAAGGGTTAAAATATTCCCCTCACATATATCAGCCTTTTCAGAAAAGTAGGATGTTGCATTATTTCCTCTGAATCATGTATCCATTCTTACAGAACTTTTGTAAGACTGGGTTCAAGGGAAATAATGCAATATCCACTTTCAAATAATAAAGGGGGGTGTCCATGCTCCCGTTTCTCTCTTTGCTTTTGGTTAATATTGTGTTTACCAGTACACATGCGCTGGAAACATTCACTCTGCAAAGAGGATCTCACATTGCAGCTTAAGAGCAGACTACTCTTGGGGCAAAGTCTGAAGATGCTCTTTTGCTGGTTTCCTCTCTGCAGTAAGTCCAGTTAAAGTTTGTCTCTTGAAGATCTGCTGTTGAGACCAGGAGTGGGTGACTCAGTAAACACCTTCTCCTCTACCATTTATCATGGGATAGACTTCCAATATAGGAAAAGAGCTGGGTTGCTTGCCATGGGTTGCTTGACATTACATTCAGCAGGAGTGGGCAGATAATCATGTTCTAATGGTAGATCTCTGGATAATTTGCGGTACATTGGCAAGAGTTTCTGACCCCAATTGTTTAACAATAGCAACAATGAAAAGGCTCCCCCCACTCCTCCAACCTAGTATTAGGTTGCTAAACAAGAATGATAGGAGCAAACTATTTTTGTATAAATAGACATGTGAGCTTGCTGGTGGTACTGATCACACATTCCTGGGCTAAGCATGTGCTCAGAGGCACCCTATCCCTCCATTCTTTGCACATGGTCACCTGTCTAAGCCACTGTTTCATTGCCTGTGAATTTTAGGATTTTTCTTATGGAACAGCCTGTCTTTCTTTGATTTATATTTTGAACCAGCCTACATAGTGATGGATCTCACAGTTGTAATAAGAAACCAAGTAGATCTGCATGCCTGCAGTTTGCCTACTCTTGGTATACAGAGCATTTCATATTACCACAATGCTTGTGCTAGATGGAGAAGATAGTGCATATTCCTAGCACAAAAAAAGGAAGCTGAAATCATAATTATCCCTTTTTTGTGCAGGGAGAGCCTAAAAGAATGGCAAAGCCTCTGGATTCTAGCACAGAAATATTATTAGGTCTTTCCTGTGCAAGCAGTGACTTCTCAAGACCTCTTCCCAAACATCACTCTCGTAGGCTTTAATGTTGCACATTTCTACTTCAGTTTCCTTCCTTTCTGTTCTCTCAGTTGATAAGCTGTTCCTCTATTTTTAGAAACCAGCTACTAAACCAGCTCATAGGAAGCCACCATCTTCCCTTCCCCTCTACACACACAAGGCAGAAGTTGGCCAGAACGGTGATCTAGTAAGTATCAATATGCTGAGACAATGGTTGTTTTCTTTCCTTTTATACAAGATGTTGACAATTAAATAATGAATGATCTAAAGATAATGGCCTGCCTAGCATGAAGATCATGCCTATTCTGCTCTTCGTCCATGAATTTCCAAGTGACTTTCCATTTTATTTTCATGAAGCCCAGTGACTTCAGTGTTCTGCTGAGCAGGTATGCAAGATCAGTCATAACAGTGGAGCACAGAGTCCTCCTTTAACTGCTGATGAATAATTCCAGCTACAGTAGCCACTGGTACTGCTCAGCCATTGCTGGTCTCTTGGCATGGCCCAGCTGTATGATATAAATGCACCTTCCCATCACCAGGGGGAGCAAGATCTATTCCAGATCATTCTGTGCTCCAATGGGAATGCAACAGTTGGCAGATGCCAGTTGCATAGCTGGGGCCAATGGGGTTTGCAGTGAAAACATCTGGAAGGCACCACGTTAGAGAAGGCAGTGGCATAATTACAAACTTCGGAACAATACAGAAAGCTATAGAAAAGTTTGTTCCTTTCCTGTCACTAGATAACGTAGGCAGAGGGAGCATTTTTTTCAAATGTTTTGAGGGAAAGCAGCATTTGGCATAAATTTGTCTATCCATAGAATAAGAGAGAGAGTAGGATGAAAGATGAACAGAAAAAGCTGAGAAATAAACAACAACAAAGACAAGTGTGACTTCTTAAAAACAAATACATTTATCATGGTTAAGCCTGCATGAATTATAGTCCACTTCATTTGACACATGGGGATGTGTTGCGGTGTGTGTGTGTATGTGAGAGAGGGAGGGAGGGAGGGAGGGAATTGTAAAAAGTTAGGACAGAGGAAAATGAAATGGAAAATGTACAAACTGTAGCAGTTACATTAACTGTTGTGTTTCAGTAAAATAGACATAGTGACCATTGACAAGGCAGTATCGTTGATAAACACAGAGTGGGGGTAGATGGCCATTGTTTTCATGGCAGGGCACCCATGAGGCATAAAGTGTTAAATATTGTCCGATCAGTCTTTGTTAGATAAATCCTTGCAACTGACAGGAACTTCTAGTGTTAGGCTTTGCCCAGACCACTTAACATACCTCCAAAACAGTTCTTCCCCATAGTGCAGAGAATGTGGTGTATCTATATGGACAAGACCCATGTGTGTCTTCTGTTCTCACTTTCAGAAAACTTCTTCATACATGATATAGAAATCCCACCTACAGGTGGTTCTGTTGATAGGAAGTGCTGTTTGTTGAAAGTTAACTTTTGACAAAATGGAATTATAGAAATAAAATGTCACTTTGATCCTCCCCTTTGCACTGCATTCTGAGTCCTGGATTTGAAAGGGAAGTATGCATGCAAGATATCTAAAACAAGAAGGAAGCAATTTATTTTTAGACATATTCACTCAAAGCTTTCTCTGGACTGGTAGGCTTCACTCTCCATGCTATAAGAGAGGAAAATTGCAAATATTAGTCCTCTGTTTGCAATGTTTAAATAATCAGTTTATACATGGGAGAACCTGTTCACCACAGAGGCTAATTGCGGATTTCTGTTGTCTAAAGTTACAGGGTAAGACAGTGATAGACTTGTGAACATGGTGTACTCTTGTAAACAATGCATTGTTCCTGGCACCTATGTATTTGTAGGAAATGCCTGAATCCCTATAGACAATACTATATCTGTAAAATGCTCACAGCAGTTTACCTACATCATGACAGGAATTTTATAACTACAGCATAAAATACAGCAATATTATTATCTTCATTTTTCAGGTGAGCGGGCCTAGCAATATGAATAGTAGTTCATAGCCAAACTGAGATTTGAAATAGGAACTCTTTCTTTCAGTAAACTTTCTTGTATAAGGAGACAGGCAGCTCTGGGCAGTGTACAATATGTTCCTTAGGTCCTCACCTCAGTAGCGGTATTATATAATATTGTCCTCAGTTTACAATTGCAGTGCATTGAACAGCAGAAGAACCAAGTGGAACATGAAACCAAATATTGCCATGTGCAGTGTTTCTGTTCAGGGTTCCAGCCAGGCATACTGTCTTCCAGAATGCCCCACCCCCATCAATATCCCATTTTTTGTTTTTCAGCATCCTGTTGTCAATGAGCATGTTTTGGGATCTCAGGACCATTGCGCAAGTTGTCTCCATTGTCTGGCCCCAGCTGCTGCTTGTTGGTCTCCCAGTGATATCTGCCCTAGCACTTAATAATTGGCAGGCAGGCAGGCTAGCTGTCCATCCATGGTAGTGATACCAAGCAGATCTCCAGGACCATGTGGCACACTTGAACTCATGCTGCCACCACTGGATTGATACTAGCTCCAGTTCCTAGTATGCATACATTGGGATAGGCCCAGCACCTATGGTGCTGCCTGGAAAGATAGGTGCATGGGCCAGAAAATCAGCAGAAAGTCACTGGTATCACGTGGCTCTTCCCACCTCCACTAGTCCCTGCTGGGCAGCCAGTAGGAACTGGGGAAGGAGTGATCTGGTAATAGCAGGACTGCCATCCTGCACAAACCCAACACCCTCTATATCCTATGACTCCCAGCTGAACTATACCAGCTATGGTACTGACAGCAATCTGCCACTGTGGGTGGGTTCTGTTCTGTTCTGTTTTGGTTTGATTTGGTTTTTTTTTTTTTTTTTTTGCATTTCTGCAATCTTTGGGGTTCTTCTGACCATGCTGACACCTTGCTCCCAGTTCGGCTACAATCCTGTTGGCACTCATCAGCTGAAGTGATTTGGAGTAGTGGAGGTTTTTTTTCAAGGTTTCTAGTTCATTTTTTCTTCAAGCTTTTTCTATCCCTTATGCACAGCCTTAAAGTGTAGTAAATTATATGCTTCAACCATCTCTTCCTTCTCTTCCTTCAGAAGCCATCTCCAGATGCTTCTCATCCTGCACGGGTGAAGGTTAAAAGTTCTCCCCGGATTGAAAAGCTCCAGGTAAGATCTGATTGCCTATCTGCTGGAACTCTTAAGCTTCAGTTCTTACTTAGCAGGCACTAAGTTCCATAGAATTCCATGTGGTTTACTTCTTAGGTGGCACATGTAGAATCACACTTCTACAAAAGCAGACTTTTAATATCAACATGGTTCATTCTAGTGGCCTTTTATCACTTTCCTTATGCTTTATTTTTTAAAAACAACCCTGCATATATTTTGCTTCTCTCACTAATACTTAATTTATGCTAGCTAGTATAGTTGTTCAAGGTGACAGTGTCTGTTGCCATCTTGAATTATCCTGCTAACATTATGAAAATTGTTCTAGCATTCCCCTACCAAAGCATCCCAGGACTCCAGCAATATGAGCTACCACATATCACTGTCCACTTAATGTAACCCAGGGCTTTAATTACACTGATTACCTTAACAACAGCAACATCACTGCCACATGGTTTTCTCCTGTGGTATTTTCTCCTGTGCAGCTAAGGAAGGTTTCACAACACTGTAAGGTTAAAATGCTCTGTAGACAAAGATGGATAGGAGAGAGAGATTTAAATTGAATATTGTTATGGCTTTGTTGACAACCTCACCCAGGCCGAGTCAGTGTAGATATATTCTTTTGGCTGAGATGCTGGAAAATCTATAAAGCTTCCGCTGATGTAAGAATAGGCTGTGGATCCAACCATTTGGGAAGGGCAAGTCTTCTGTCATATCTTCTCTTCCACAGATTGTTTGTTGACAGTGTCACCCAGAGAGAATTCAGCTGGTGAAACAAATGTTTTAAGAGCAAGGGCTCCCTCATGTGGTTGTGGCTAACAACAGTAATTTCCAGGTTGTGGCCAGTATGGTTTCACTAAAGCCTTTCAGGTTATGGTTAACATGATGCCAAGACATCGGTTTTCCTCCTTCTCCCTGAAAAGGGCCAAAGGGCAGGGATTTACAGGTCATAGTGATGTGAGCCATGAGTAGGAATTGCAACAAAACGATGCCATGTGGAGTGCTTCTGTTCATGGTTTCAAGCAGCCAGCTATGCCAACTTCCAGGACAATCCATTTGATTCCTATACTGCCCCTAGTTTTCTACTGATGCTGTAATGATCAGTTATGAGTTGATAAGCTGAAAAGGCATGGGCCTACAGCTACATGTGGAAGCACAGCAGCGCATTAGACTTGATGGCCTTATAGGCCCCTTCCAACTCTAATTCTGTTCTGTTAGTTCTGTGCCCACTAGGAATGCTTAGTTCACAACTAGGCTGTTTTAATTCCCAACCTTGTAGGGCTATTTTTAAAATAAATTTGTTATACTTTTGAAACTGTTGGAGTTCCCAAGCCTGCTGTTACCTCCCTCTTGAATATGGGTGGTACCTTTTTTCAAATGCAGTGAACGTAGTTGACTCTTAATATATATTGATTCCATATATATATGGAATGCTGGAAAACTTTTGGGAATCCCCATGTTCATATATGTCCTACTTCCAATGAACACGTTGGTGATAGGTGGGGTGATGACATTAAGGCTAGATTTTAAAGCTTGAGAAGAAAGTAGAAAATAATGACTCTGTGTTTCCGTTTGTTTTTCTTTGCAGGCCAATCTTGCATTTTCTCCAGCTTCTCTGTTGCCAGGAGCTTCTCCCAAAAGTCCTGGTCCCCCTCCTGCCAGTCCACACTTTCATTCAAGTGAACCAGATGAAACACCAGTCAGCTTTGATCAGCCACCAGAGGGCACTCATCTTCAGTTTTATAACAAGGTATGGTGCTTGGGTGATACCAAATGTACCTTTGGCACCTGTTAAAGACTCATTTCTTTACCCTTCAGTGAGTGATTGTATGGTCCGGTCCGGTCAGTCTGCTTATTAATAATTTTACTTTAGGTTTGGTTTTAAATATTTTAAACAGGTTGATTGATGTATTTTTTGTGGGTTTTTGTATGTTTGTTTTGATTACAGTATTGTATTTTGTAATCGAATTTGTATTATTTCTGTTTTATTGTAAGCTGCCCAGAGAACCCTCTGGACTATGGGGCAACATACATATATAGTAATAATAGTAATTCTAATATTTTGATCTCTGTTTCTGTAAATCACATAAGGTATAATTCAGCAGTGATGCCCAAACTTGGAGGATAGGGCTTTTCTATGCAGAGCAGGAGAAGCATGGAGGCAAAGATAGCCCCCTCTTCTACTCTTTGGAGCAAATAGCTGATTTGAAGTGATGTTCTACTTCAAAAAGGAAGGGGAAGGAAGGGGGCTGAGATACCACTAGGATAACTCATATCATGGTGGCACTTGTCTCCTCCCTACCCTGCCCACACAATGCCTTTAAACCCATCCTCTGAATTCACTGCTATAAATTTCAAGGGCTCTATGAACTTTATCCTAGAGTCATAAAGGAGCTGACAGAAGAACTCTCAGAACCATTGTCTGTTTTCATTGAGAAATCATGGATGATAGGGGAAGTGTAAGATGACTGGAGAAGGGCTAATCTTGTCTGTAAATTCAAGAAAGGAAAAGAAAAAGAACAATCACCTAGAAAATACAGATCATTCAATTTGACTTCAATCCCTGGGAAAATTCAGGAACAGATTATAAAGCAGTCAGGCGGCAAACATCTTGAAAAGAGATTACCAAAGTCCACATGGATTTCTCAGGAACAAGTCCTGCCAGACTAATCTGATTTCATTTTTTGATTGGGTAACCTCTGGTGGTCTCTGGGAATGCTGTGAACATAATATATCTTGACTTCAGCACAGATTTGATGAAGTGCCCCATGATATCCAGATTAGCAAACTTACTAAAAGTGGGTTAGATGGAAAAATCATCAGGTGGTTCCACAGTGGGCTACAGAATCAGACTCAAAGAGGGCTCATCAATAGCATCATCTTAAACTGGGGAGAGTACCACAGGGTTCAGTCCTGGGCCCAGTGCTCTTCAACATTTTTATTAATGATTTGGATGAGGAAGTGCACTTATGACATTTGCAAGATGGCACAAAACTGGGTGGAATAGCTAAAAAACACAAAAAGAAGATTCAAGGGGATCTTGATAGGTTGGAGTGCTGGGCTGAAAACAACAGGAATACATTCAATAGGGACAAATTCCATTTTCTGCACCAAGGAAAAAGAAACCAAATGCATAGTTTCACAATGGGGCATACTTGGCTTGACAAAACTGCAAGTGGAAAGGATCTTGTAATTGTTGTAGATCACAGGCTGAATATGAGTCAACAATGTGATGTGGCTGCAAAAAGGGCATGCTATATTGGGTGGCTTTTTATTTCAGGATTTTTATTTTGAAACATGTCTGCCTTTTTACAAATACATGTCTTGCCATAGAGTGGGATGCTTATTCCACATGTAGATTTTAAACTGCTAGACTCTGCTGTATTCACTACTTCAGCAGAAGGGCCATTGAATGAAATGGGATATCAGATATGAGTCTGTAGTGAGTTCACAGTTCCTGATTTGCCATGTCTGCTTTGATCCATAGGTGCAAACGCTGTCTCAGTAGGGTTGCAAATACCATAGCACTCAAAAGCAAAGCTTGGGATTACTTACTACTCAAATTATACTCTCATGGTAATTCACTGTGCACTAGGGGGTTGCTTAGAAGAGACAGCCCAGGTGAAAAAAAATCAGAAGCAAAACCCATCCGTTCTCAAGGTAGCACTGAAGGGGAAAGAAAAGAGTATAGAGATTGTTCCAAGAATGCTGCAATCAAAAGAACATTCCCTCAGAAATAAGTCTCATTGAATGTTATGTACGTCTTAACCTCTAGTAAAGACTAACGGTCAGTAACGGTGTTTAAGAATACAGCTTTTCTTTACAGACACGCAACAGACATGCAAGCGTGTTGCAGACAGAGAGGCCACCAAGAATCTGTTAGGAAACCCCCTCCTAAGACCCTCGCCAGTTATTCAGTTATTGCTGCTGTACCCAAAGCTTTTCCAACCCGGTGCCCTCCAGGTGATTTAAAGCACAACTCCCATCAGTCCCCATCAACGTTGCCAATTATCCTGGATGATGGAAATTGTACTCCAAAACATCTGTCCTTTGGGCTTCCTCCATTCCAGTGACCCACCATAACCCAGCCAACCACACCTTTCCCCCTCAAGCTCAGCTTAAAGCTCTGCTCTCATGGATGAGGGCGAGACTCGGCGAAATATTCTTCAAGCTTGCCCCGCCCTCTTTTACTTTCCATGCGCCCCGGCATAAACGCAGAATCAGCAGAATCACGACAGCCCTCACACTGGCCAACAGCCATCAATAGCCACACTGGACTGTTTTGTGCCTCTTGATTTTTGGAGACAACCTCATCCTAATGCTACAAGCTACCATCCATGAGGACCTTCCTTGCCAGAGCTAACAATACTTCAGATACCTGTCCATACCAACAGACTGTATGGAAAGAATAGTCTAATGTGTAACAGCACAGGGAGAGAAGATCTGGAGCTCTCAATTTCGTAAATGATGAACTGTTCATTGGAATGAACGAATAAATAAAATCCATCCTACTTCTACATGGGGTTCCCATGCACATTTCTAACCAGGTTATCATCTCTCTAATTTCAACAATGCTTCAGCAGCAAGTAGTGAACCACTCATAGGCTTCACTTTGTATTTAGAATTATTGCTTCTTTAAGATAATGCAGAGCTTTCCATACTGATTCTTTTCTCACTCATAATCATGAAGTGAATGCTTTAGGACTCTTTAGCCCAAAGTCTGTGTTTTAGCAGATTTAGATATAAAATAACACTCACATGTAACAGCAGGATAATAAACTCCAAGTTCAAAAGGACCAAAAGATCATATAGCAGAACTAATTCAAATGAAAAAACATCAATTCATCCAAGAAAACAAAGGCAAAATAAAATGAGCAGCAACTCAATATAGTCCTCTCAGCACTTGACTCAATAACCAAGGGTAGTTTCAGACAAGCTTTTTATGGTGTCACTGCCTTGCCTCATTTAGGGAAATTTATGGGGAATCTAGAGGTTCACAATCTTCCCACATTTTCCCATTATTTTTCCATCTTTTCTGTTACTAGATTTTTATCCTGCTCCATTAGCCCTAAGGTTCCCTTTAAGTGATACTTGGAACCCTCTTTCTAGAGGACCCTGGCATGTTGGGAAGAGCTTATTGTTTTAATGTTCAGGCCAACATAGGAAAAGTTACTGGTAGTGATTCTGTGCCAAGACTAATAAAATCTAATACCAACAATATTCAGAATCTAAGATGCCGAATAATATTTACTCAAATGAAATTTTAATTTTCCAGTAATCTCAAATTGCCTTATTGCTTGCTTGCTTGCATTTATATACCACCCCAATAGCCCAGAGGACTCTCTGGGTGGTTTACAAACCTTTAACCTTTCCCCTCAGCCATTTATGTTTTGTTTTTTTTTTTTTTTTTTATGCTTGCCTAGAGAATGTTGATTTAAGTTCCTTGGAGCTCTTGCAGGATACATTTTATGAAAAAAGAACATTTCTTTTAAGAATGCTAGAATGTCTTCTTTAACACAAATTGAAAAAAATATTTTTGTGCCCATTCAGGTTGTTAAAGGTATGTGTATAAGACTCATAGAGTGGCAATCTATGAACTTTTAGACAGAAAGAATCCTGCAGCATCCATCATTTTCCATCAAGAGAGGGAGTTATTTGAAGTTTTCTCATTTCTACTTTGAGTTGAACAACAGGCTGTTGTAAATGGGCTGGAATGTCTTCAGAATTTTTATAATGCCTCAGTGAATGAAATGGATGAGGCAGTTAAACTTGTTCTAATAGAATTGCTTGAAACAATGGAGAAGCATCCAGGAACACACATCCAGGGCTGCTTCTCATCATCCACATTTCCCTAGCCGCTTGTATTCACACACATATATGCATGCACACGAAGGAGCATAAAACACACACATGCGGGCACTGGAAACAATCTGTTTACTTCTCCTTTTTTGTGATAAGGGGTGTGCTGTCTCATGAAAGGGTATTTGATGCCAAATGTAAAAGTAAGCCAGTATATGAATAACAGTATTAGTATCTGTTTACAGTCTAGGTATGGAGGCATTTTTCTGGTAGATATATTTTCTGGCTTTGCAATATAGTAGTTTTCAATCATAGCTTTATCCACTTTCAGGTACGGACACGAGGATCAATAAAACGCAGACCACCCTCTAGAAGATTTCGAAAGTCACAGTCAGAATATGGCGATGACCTAGATTCAGGGCTATTGGTTTCACCTCACGAAAATGGTACCAAGTGTGAGGATGAGGACGGCGTGTTCATGGACAAGAGTAAGAATACAGAGTCACTGTCTGACCCTTCAGATGGCATAGACCACCATGAGAAACAAAACTGGACAGCCTCTGGTGAAAAGTCCCCTTCAGATCCAGGGCTGAATGACACAGAAAGTAGAGAGACAGAGGGAGGAGCAGAAGAAGTGACATTATGCAAAGAAGAGAATCCACACCAGAACCATTCAGAGGAAGAGTTGTGTGAAAACACCAAGGAAGAAAAAGAGAAGAGTCCCAGTCCTGACACTGCAAAAGATACAAAAAGAAGGTCACGGAAGAGCACTTTGGGGGATAGGGAGGATGGTAATGCTTCTGACAAGGAAAAGAACGATAAAGGTGGTAAATTAAGTGAGAACGAAGACATGCAACAGATACCAGGCACAGAAGACAATGAGATTCCACAGCCTACAAAAGAAATGGAAGCTGATGTGAGCACCCAGGTGTGATGCCAGTCTAATCACTGCACGCATAGCATATGGGAAATCAAAGTTAGGATGGGGTTCCCACTGCAGTGCTTACTTATGAATGAGCTTGTGAATGAATGAGCTCTCCCTTACATGAAAATCCCAAAGATGCCAGTGTTATCTCCTTTTTCTTGACAGTTCTTAGGCCTTTGTGATGGCAAATCTGGTCATCTCTGATTGAAAACAGCCTCGTACAGACAATGAACATTCTAAGTTTCTCAGGCTGGTGACACAACAAAAAAAGCATTGAAAATCCTTCCATAATGAGTTAAAGAATGTAATGATTGTCCTGGCTTTTTCAATGTGTTTCAAATGGAAATAACTATAATGCATATTAGATACATTTTCTGATTAAAGTTGACATTTCCAAACCTCTTGTGGACTGTCAGCTGTTACTCTGTAACTACGCTGCATGTGTATCAATTACATGGTCACCCACAGAACCACACAAAGCAATCCCTTCTTTCATAATGACTATGAAATAAACTGGTAAATGAAAATTTCTGTTTACTAGAATAACAGTTATACTCATATTCTTCAACTTTTCTAGATTTTCTCTTAGCCAGCTTTTCTGAGTTTTCTCTGCATGTTTTAACACATGAATGTTCCATGAGTCTCCTGTACTATGTGTCAGAATGTCTGATTGTCATTCAGATAGAAGAAGAAAATTGGTATCTGTAATATGAACGAGCTTTCTTGCAAAGTATAAGCTCTTTACATTTGTTCTCTTTATGGACTTAAGTGATACAGGAAGTGCTTTAAACCTCACAGAGGAAAATACCTTGTACCTTGCAAAGATCTGTCTTTTGATTCAGGAAGTCCTTCTACTCGTATAAGATTGCCTTATACCAAATTTGATCATGAGTCCATCTAACTTAGTAACTTCCACAATGACTAACAGCATCTCTCAGGGTTGCAGAGAGGGGTTTTTCCCACACTTGCCTGGAGATACCAAAAACTGAACCTAACAAATAAACCTGTCTGCTTCACCACTGAGCCCCTCGTTGTTTCATGAACCTGTAATTGGAAACAGATTCTAATAGGTCTGAAATAGTTGTAGCAGGATTAATGGATAAAGTATCAAATGGCAGCATGGAAGAAACGAGTTACCTGTAAATGAATTGGCAACCATTTAAAAACATTTACACTTGTTTTTCTCTTGTGCATTTTGGAAATGTACACATTTCTTCTTGGTGTCCTTGTTGGCGGAAAGTGTCTGGTGAGTTATATAAGGAATGCAGAATGAACTAACAAGCAGGAAATACTGCTATATTGAGAGCATGCCTAGTTCTGCAGATATTGCCCCTCTATTGCAGACATCACTTGGAAAATGCAAGGCAAGCATGGGCCATAACATCTGGCTGATGGCTGCATGTTGTGCTGGTCAGAGCTTTATGTCTGTGCATCTGTGCTAGAACAGTTCTAGATAAAGTACAGCTTTCTCTGAGGTAGATCTATAGCAGCATTTTTGCACTCGCCAGAAAATCAAATTGAACTGGCTAGAAAATCGAGCAGAAAATCATTGTACTGCTGCCTGCAGTAACTAAGTAGGAAAGTGTGAGTAGTAAGGCTCCCAAATAAAGACTTTTCCACTTGGGTTTCATCCATTTTTTCTGGGTCTCAGCAGAAAGAAAACACCCTTACTAAAGTAACTGGGCCATCTTCTTTGGCTTTTTGTATTGCTCCAATGAAAAGCTTACCATAAATACTACGCCTGATGTTCAGTGGGTGCCCCCTTGAAAACAACACTGGTGATGCTCCAGCCCCAATATATGAATGATGGGTGCTGCCAGTCTCAGATGAAAGCACACCTGTAGAATATCACCTGTGACAATTGGCCATGTGGTTCCCTGCATTGTGAACATAGGGTTGCATTTTGTCTGTCCCAAAAAGCTGTTCCAGGCAGGGGCATAAGTATCACACATTGTTGCTGGTTTAGAATGTTAGCCCTTAGTTAGAAGTCATGGAATGCTTTGTACCTCAAAGAGTTACCAAGCTGCATACAAGTTGCATGCTGCATAAGAACTGCTTTACTGGGCAGGGAAAAAGTTAATCTAGGTTCTGTATGTATGACTGGGAAGATTTTGTTCCTAGCAATGGTCAGCCTGATGCTCTGTGAATCTCTCAGGTAAGGCCTGATGGAGAATAATAGTTTTGTGTTGTTTGTTCCAAATATATGATAATCAAAGATAATTGAAAACCTGTGTTCAGAAGCAGTTTATTATGGATAATAATAATAGATAAATCTATTATATGTATTATGTATGTATGGGTAATCTAATGGTCATCGCAATGACTTCTGACTCCATCCAAAGAGTTTACTTGACAGGCACTAACTGAGTTCACATGACACAATAATCTATCATGAGTAAGCAGCATATTTGTTGGCAACTAGTTCTAAGGGCAACCCATGGCTTATTCCAGGGATTGTTCAATTCATGGCAGGTTGTCATGTCATCTGAAACCAATTTCATCATTGGTTGCAGTGAATGGCTAATAAACCACTTGGCAAGAGCAGCAAAACCCACTGCTACTTGTCACAATCTCACCCTCCACTGATGCTCAAATGGCACTTTGGAGCAACAATTACTAATTTACCACCTTTTTCTTAGCCCCAGAAAATTGCACAAATCTGCTTCTGTTTTTACAAATTATTTATTGTTTTTAGTCTTTCACAAGTGTACTCTTGTGGCTTTCTGATATGTGTAGCCTTGCCTGATGGATTTCTTGTATGTTTCAGATATCAGGGGATGGTAAGTAGAATAGAAAAAGTAGCATAAGTAAGTCACAAAAAAGGGATATATATCTCCCCATTAACAGTATGCTTCTCTGGCTCATAAAGGTTAAATCGACACTTCTCTGTGCTTTCAAATTTTCAGCAATTCCCTGAAGCTCCAGAAACTCCAGAAAGGGGTGATATTAACTCCTGCCTCCTATTTCAGAGCACTTACTGATGTGATTACTGCAGTTCCTTGACAATTATAAAAGTAAAATCCTGAGAAAATGGCTGAATGGGACCAGGTGAATGGTTCTGCATGGAGAGGGGGTTAAATACGACTGGTCTAGCACCCCACTCTGGCCCATTCTGACACCGCTAAGGTTTTCTTTAAAACTGTCAAGAATATTTGCACATTTATTTCATACTTGGAAATATATGCAAATCTAAGAGCTGTGCAGTAAAGGGCAGGGGGAATTGATGTACCTGCTTTGATGGAGCAGTTCGTGCAAGTGTACATATTTCCTATCAGTTTACTTCTCAGCCCTTAAATTTGCATATATTTCTGCATTATTTAAGAACTCTGAGGGAATCATAGAAATAAGTACTCCAAAAAGGAGGTGTGAAAAATGAAGCATTAATCTCTTCCCTTTCTGGAGTAGCTGGAGACTAGGGAAAGTGTTGAAAAGGTGGATGATAATGAGAAGTGTCAGTTCAACACTTAAAAAGCCAAAGGATCGCACTGTCAAGGAGGAGATACTGTCCCCACACTGCCTTGTGCTCCAACTACTTGTGCTGCTTGTCCTCGTGACCAATTTCAGTTGATAGCTAGGCAAGTGGACCCAGGTTTACCTGGTCAGTTTCTTTGTATGCTACACTTTGATGGCTGAAGCATAGAAGGAAAGGACCAGGAAAGACTATACATATCTGACAGCCTAAGACAGCACTTCCAAGAGTCCAAATAAACAAATTATAAACTGTTGTACAATTTTAATGGACCAAACCTCAACAACAACCCCCGATTGTGTTGTTTTGAGACTCTGAGAAAAATACAGTGGTGAACAAAAAAGGGTAGCAATTACAGGAGAAAGTGGGAAACAAGGTGGGTTCTTCTACAAAGGGTATTGAGATTATTGGCTGCAGGATTGAGGGGGAAGCAGAGGGAGCACACACCACGGTGAGTCCAATTGGCTTTTGGGGCACACAATGGGTTGTTTTGCAAACAATCCATCCCATGTAGCTTATTCCCAGGGAGGTTTAATGGGAATGCCATGACTCCCTGATCCTTGCTGTACTGAGGCTCCATGTTATAGAATTCCTGTCTGGAAACATAATGAACTAAGACAGCCAAACTGGTCCAAGAGGAAAAACAAAACAAAACAAAACTCGGGAAAAATCCAAAATCCATGATTAGGGAATGCCTTTATTAGGATCAAGCAAAGTGCTCCCAAATTGTGGAAGGTTATGAATTTTGTAGAAATGTTCATCAGGTTTGGTGGTAAAAAAAGGCAGCAGGTTGGCCATATAATTTAATCTTCCTGTGAAACCTTTTTAATTATGGGTAGCAGCTTTAAGCCTATGGAGAAAATAATTGCTCTAGCAATAATCATATTAATTTATCCATGTGGCCATTCCATGTATTGCATGAAGACCCTGGCCTTAATGTTTTGATGGTTTAAGTATGGTTTGAATGTGTTGAAAAATGGATGGCATACTAACCTCTGTCCAGAATGTAGAACTTGACAGAAGTACTATGCTGTAACTTTTTGTCCATCCATATGCTCTAGCCCTTACTGAAGCTTCAATAAAGAAGTTATTTCTACAAATGTGCTTCATGCTTCAGTGCAAAGATGCAACCACTTTTAGGAATGTTCTATAATGCCATCCAACAACAATAAATGTTGCTGGAAGAATCCTGAAGTCCTTGGCTTATGTATTTGGAACTGTTTGGCATAATACAAATTCAAGCAACTTTGCAGTCACATTTACTTTAGGTAAAAACACTTGTAGCGCAAATGACAATAAGATGACGTCCAGAGCATAATACAATGTAGCTTTTCCTTTTTTCTCTCTTTTTTAAGGCTGCATAACAAGACAAGCATGTTTAAACCTCAGATGAGTCAAAAGCATCAAAGGAGGAGGAGAATGCTGGTATTCAAAGACAGTGCTTACAAAACAACATTTATGCCATTCTTAACTGGCACATAAAATACAAATCACACGAATTCAGCTCTTAGAAAGCTGTCTAGAATTAACTCTAAAAGCTGAACTGAGGACAATGCATTGCAAAAATCATTACTTCCTTATAAAACAAACTGAGAAATCTGGCATGTATGCATAATGTTAAAACCAGGACCCTCCTTGCAGAAAATAGTGAGAAATGTATTCTGATGAATAGTACAGAAATCAAGTACACTCACCTTAATATTCCACACAGAAGTAACCACTGGTATTCAATTTCTTTTATGGGGATAGATTTCTTGGATTTGGAAGGATATAGCAAGAAAAAAGAAAAAAGGGCATGCCCACTACTAAGAATTTTCTGCTGTTATGTTTAGAACACCCCAGTATCTTCGGTGTTTTTTTTAAATGAATGATGTTCAAGCATGTAAATCTTTTGTTCATGAAAAACAGAGAAATGTAGCATAATAAAAATCAAATGTTCTGGATGGAAAAGTGTGCCAAAAACAAAATCCCACATGAATATATTTGTTCTCTTAATTCCTTGCAGTGTTAAGGAACTTGGAAGAGGTTTTTTTAATTAGTTAAAGGTAGTAGAAAAAAATAAAGACACTTGCTAGAAATTATAGAGTGGCTTTCTGGAGAAACGGGGAATTTTATGAATTTTCTACATAAACTGCAGTAAGACTTTTTCCAGCATCAGGATTTCATTAGCAAAATGACACAAGCATTATTGGCAATGAAGTGTTCTATGAAGTATAGCAGTTGGGGAAGCAGCTGAATTAGGAGTTGAGTAAACAGTGTCAGTCTTGTACACTGAGGACAAAGTGTCTGCATTGGATCACTTTTAAAATAGGAAGCCCCTCCCATGTGGAAGCTACCAAAAAGCATTCACTCAAAGAATTCCAGGCAAAATGGTGCCTTCCAGATGTTTTGGCCTAAATCTCTTGTAATGCATTGGTCATACTGGATGGGATTTATGGGAGTTATAAACCAAAAAATGTGGAGGACACCATGTTGCCTACCTCACAGTGTCTGCGTGACAGAAGTGTATAGCTGGGAGACACCCCATAGCACTTTGATATGGCTGAGTGTTTTTCATTAGCTTCCATGTGGCTACATTCATGCATACATCTATGTCTATGTCTTTCAAAGTATAATGCAGACAAGACCCAACATATTTTACTTCCTGAGGCATAGGATAAACACTCCCCCCATTCCACATACAGAAGCCAACAAGCGTGATGCTTCAACACTGTCAATGCGAGAATATCCTTGACTACCCCAGAAGAGTTAAGTTAGCTTAGGGGTTGCAGGATAGGCTGCACAGCACCCAGAGGCTCTGTCCACCAACACTTCACTGTTGTCCACACCCCAGCATCTACCATCTGAGGCAACTGCCCCACTCTGCCTTATAGTAGGGCCAACCCCAGGTTCCACAAAGGCAACACAGGCTGTTGCACATTTAAGATATATTCTGTCACACACAAAATCTTCATTACCTGGATCAGTTTGGAGAATCTGATCATTTGGGGGCTCAAAAGACAAAATAGTTAAGCTACCAGTTTGCAAATTTTATTTTTTAAAGTGTCATGCAAGTGGCTAACAAGGATTAATCAACTGCTACCGGTACTTCAAAGAAACAATACAAGCAGAAGAAACAGGTATAAAAGTAAATGCACCTTATACAGTCACTTGAATACACCTTTAAAACACAAGAAATACATAGCAGTAAGAGTGCAATCCTATGGCCTTCTGACATCGTTGGGGGGGTGGGGCTATAGGATTATTTGGACCCCATTTCTGAGGCCTTGCAGCCTTGGAGCTGGAACTCCCTTGTAGCCATTGCAAGAAAAACATTGCTCAATATATTCTGCTGCAAAGGTTGCAACTGGGCCTTGGAGTGAGGGAAAAGGGGAATGCCAAGGGGAAGAGAGGTGAGGAGGCTGGGACCACAAACTTGTTCCAAATCCAATTAACTTCCTGGCCTCCTTTCATCTTCCTCCCTAGCACTAAATTTAGATGCTAAAAATGGCCTTTTAGCGAAAATACCCAGCACAAGGCACAACAGTGAGGACTGCTTCTGCCTCATCTCATTCCATGCATAGGGTGAATCTAATCCTCTGTGTTTGGAGGACTGCATGCATCAAGTGTGTGGAACATAGGACTGCACCCCAAGGCAGCAAAATCATACAGTAAAAGGTCTGAGAGAACAATATTGTTTTTACCTGGTGCCTAAAGTTGAAATAATTAGTTGTTAACCAAGTGTCTGTAGGATGGGTGTTCCACAATTAAGGCCCCATTAAGAAGGGCCTCTCCAGTCACCACTCACCCACCTTGAACAAAGTATCTACATGAAGTGTTTTTACAATATTAAATGGAACAGACTCATGCTAGAGTGCATCTTTAAGTACATAAAAAATTCCACAGGCCTACTGCAAAGCTCTTTAGAAATATATGACAGGTTTTTACAGCCTTCCAGTGACCCTTAGGCACCAACTCAATAAATGAGGACAAAGTGCATGCTGCCCTTAAGCTCTGCTCAAGTACAGTGAGTTTGGCAGCTGAAGCCCCCCAAGAAGCTCCAAGAAAAGCATGCATTCCCCTTATGCTTTGAACATGGGAAAATGGTGAAATTAGCATTGTTAGGTCTTATGAACAGAAAGGCCATTTAACTACTGTGTCATGTCTGTAACACCCAATATCTGAAGTTCTCTTGGTGGTTCACAGCAATTCAGCAAAAGCAGGTACAGTAATAAGATAGAGCATGAAACACAGATGCAATAAAAATAAGCTTTCTGCTCTTGCATAGGGAAGCATTGTACAACCATTAAAATCAATTTAATATTTTAGATGTCGACTGCTTTTGGTGCAGACCGCTTCATTTCATTTATTTATTTCTCTATCAAAAAAAACCTGTTACGGTATACTGCTCCAGGCACTAAAACCCAGTTTCTCCTCTTTGTAGTGCTCCCGCGCCTTTAAAAACATCACCACAAACAGGATTCGAATGGCAAGTGAATTTTCTCCATGATTTTCCCTATCAGGAAAATTCCATTTATCATGACTTCGGTCTTGTCGTGAGGTGGACAAAAATTGGCAACGCAGGCGTGGCCACATCTGGAAGCAAGCCGTTTGCTGCATTCAGCAAGGAAAGGGTTAAAGGCCGGATCCGAATTAGCTTCAGACATCACAGCGGGAGATACGCGAAAATGTCCCTCCGCGGCGGGAAAGAAGCATCCCAAAATAGTTCTGTGAAGGCAGGGAAATAGTCCCGCTCGTGTCCCAGCTCTACTCTCATCAACGATTCAAACGAACCGATCCACTCGAGTTCCGCGGCCCAGCCAGGACGCTGTAATTATATATGAACGAAAAGGGAAACGTTCTCGTATTCAGGGCGGAGCGGTATTTCTCTTTTCCGCGGAGATACGGCCTTCTGTATCTCACCAGTCCCTCTTCTGGAGAGAAAAGACTCCCCATTCGAGGTGGACGGATGGCACTGTCAACGCTATTTGACCGTAATTCATTTGGTATCGTCAGGATCGTGGCCGGAACCATTGTTCTGGACGAGAAGGGTGAGGGTGTATAATATCAAATAATGGAAACTCGTCAGTAGGACACTTCCGCATTTGCAATAGGGGCGGGATAAAAGTGAAGAAGTGAGCCGAGGAAGAGTCAACTGAGAGCGGCTCGTTGGTCTAGGGGTATGATTCTCGCTTCGGGTGCGAGAGGTCCCGGGTTCAAATCCCGGACGAGCCCATAGTTTGAGGGAGTGATTCAGTCATTCCTATTTTGGGGGACCTCAACAGCTTATTAATTTTACAGTTGCTCGATTAGAGCCTTGAAGAGGTTTAAGCAGAGGGAAAGGGCCAAGAGGTGCAACTGCTCCAGTGCATAAACAGAAAGGCAATCGCGCTACAGAAAGAGTGAAAGTTAGCATGGCGTACCGGGGTAGAAAGAGGGCTCTGATAAAGGTTCGCGTGGTTGTGTTCAAACATTTCCCCTGCTCTGGTGTTGAGAAGGAAATGACAACGCATCCATAGCGCACGCAAAGAAAGAAAAAAATCACAACACTGGGAATTGCGCATAGGTTAAGAAATGCATGAATTAACTCTTGTTTTGATGCTCGAATACATTACTGGACTGGTCAGGTAGACTGACATTTATTTTATTCTATTCAGGCTCCCTAGCAGGGCCCCTTTTTAATATTACTGCGTCCGATTCTTAATATTATTTCTAATAATACTAGAAATAAAGAGAGAAGTGAATAGGTAGAAATAAATTCGCTATGGTTTTACTTGTTTTCTTCAAAGGTTATGCAATGTACAAGAAGAATAGCAAAAGAATTGCATTTTCATAAGATATCGTGTGCGTAAGTCATATAATCAGTAATACCAATCAAATCTGTTTATAAACGCGTATAGAAATCATAGAAAGGAGCCAAAACCATTCGAAAATGTATTTTAAAAATCGTGTTCTTTGTTCTGTTTGAAAATGGTAATTACAAAAATTGGGCTCGTCCGGGATTTGAACCCGGGACCTCTCGCACCCTAAGCGAGAATCATACCCCTAGACCAACGAGCCAGCCTTTTGCAGCTTTTCACGCCGTTTTACAAGAAGCTAACACGGCTTCCTTGTTTCATAGGGATAGAATTTGTTTGAAGATCTCAGTTTCAAAATATTGAACAATGCGCCGTTTTTGTAGAAATGCTTTGTTGCAATACCCACATTCGATTCATCATGTCAGTATACTAAGCAATTCCTCTCAGATGATTTACTTCTGACAGAATGTTTTCTGCAAAAATTAACCCTTGCGGGATAGCCCAAAATTGTAGCTCTACCATGTTTGGTATATTTCCTATTTGCATGTTGCACTGCCATAGCCTTTGGCTCATGCAGCACAATAAAAATGATGTATAATATGAGTAAGGTCATCCAAAAGGGGAGTTTTACTGGCTGCACTGCATTTCTTCATCACCCAGCTAAGATTTGACAGTAAAATAAAAAAGTTTTCTCCTTGAATTGAAAAAAGAGCCGGTTTTGTTGCCGCGACGTGTTTGCACAAGCGTATAAGGACCAAAGAAGAGAAGGAAGCATCTCATAGCTTTATGGGAGCCATCAAGGATGCATGCCATGTAGGTGCCTGATACGCCTACTACAAGGCGATGGTGGCCTAAGAATTAGGAAAAACATGCATGACTTCTTCAGTGGGCTATCACCTAAAGGACTTCCCCCAATTTTCATGCTGTATATTTGGATGGTATTATCTTCAGTCACATCAGCTGGATCCTAGAGGAGTGTACAGGTCCAGGGGCATGTTGTTGTTTTCAGGTAAATTTACCAGTGGTATATATGTATATTTTACTTATTACATTTATATTCCACATTTCCTCCAAGACAGTATGTATGGGTCTCCCCACCGCTTTCCACTTACATCCTCAGAACAACCTTTGAGATAGGTTTAAGACGTGCAACTGGCTGGGTGGAGATTTAAATCCTGCAATTGCAACCTGACACCCAACGATCTAGGAGTAAACCCCGCTTTAGTTCCTAGTAGATGTACAAAACATTGTGCTTTTAAGTAACCAAAAATTTGCCTCCAGTTGTTGCTATTTCAAAAGCCAGATCTTTTTCTCTTTTTGTATTTTTATATTTAATGGTAATTTATTATGTACTATTGCATTTCAATGTATCTTATCATGTTGTAAGCCGCCCCGAGGTTTCGGCAAGGGGCGGCATAGAAATGTTATAATAATAATAATAATAATAATAATAATAAAGCTGGAAGCTAGAAGAGCTCTGTAAGGGCCAGGTAGCTCCGATGTAGCTCTGCCATTAAGCAGAATGAAAAGATCAGGGGTCCTCAAACTTTTTCACCAGGGGGCCAGTTGAAAGGTGCTGGGCAAGGGCCAGAAAGGTAGTGCCGGCAGTGCTGGGGTGTTATGTACGGGTGTGCGCGCTGAGTTGGGGGCAGGGCGCATGGCGAGGTAAGGTGAGACGAGGCATGGGCGGGCGGGCGCGTGAGGGGAGGCGAGGTGGGGGCCGGCACACACCAGGAGGCAGGCACACGAGGCAGCAGCTTGCTCTCTTGGAGATTGTTTTCTCCAAGCAAGCAAACTGTTGCCTCCCCACACGTGGGGCAAGGTGGCAGCAGCGGGTTCAAATGGGCATGGCGGGCCGGATCCAGTCCCTGGGCCATAGTTTGAGGACCCATGGAAAATATCTTCTCAGGCAGCAAATGCTGCGTGGGAGCAGAAAGGTCAAGGGGGGAAGTTGTGGTGCCCAAGGCCTGGAGCCAGTCCGCTATGCCAAGTGTGGTGCCCCTATGGGATGCTGCCTCACAGTTAGCTCTGAAGAAGTGTCCTCCAGTCAGCTTCTGCAATTGGACAGGCACGGGGCATCCTCTCACTCGTCCTTCGCCACAGCAGCTAAGGGTCTTGGGCTGGCCCTGGGGAGGCCTCATTGCAGAGGTCACCGCAGAACCCAGGGGCTGGCTCCTACTCTTTGGAAGTACTCTGAAGTCTTACTCCCACTTGACTTAGAAGGAACCACTCATGGGACTTGCTTCCTAGGAAGCATGCGTGTACAGGTTCGACTGAATGTACTCCAGGGAAAGCGTGTAGAGAACTGCAGCCATATAGCCTGCCTGAACTACCGAAGCTGGCCATTCAAGTAAGTCCACATTTACTCTCTCGGGAAGAAACCCAGGGTGCCGAAAACGAATGAGAAAATGTTCTTTGGCACAGCTACACACTCGGCCCGCCTCTCTTACAGAGCATAGCTGGCCAGCTCTTCAAAGGGAGGGCTTGTTTCCAGTTCTGTGACAGGCCGGGCAACTGGACGAAGGAAAGCAACACACAAAGGCACTTCCCCGGCTTGCAGGAGCTGCTTGAGAAGAGGAAGCGGGGGAAGGGAAGCGAGGTGGCTGCGTGAGGGCCAACCAGGAAAGACACAAGGCGATCTTATTCATCAGGGTTCCACAGATCGGTCGTTGGTCACAGTGGCTGGAAACTATGGGAGTTGTAGTCCAACGCAGCTGGAAGACACCTCTGGCTGGGGAAGACTGGTATGTTTACTCTGTAGAAATTCCCACTGTCTTTATTCCTAGATAAAACGTGCACAAAACATGCAAGTTTTTCATATTGTCCTGTATTCCATATTATTAAATTATTATGTTTCTTAAATGGCTTTCAGTAGAACGTATACAAAATCGTATACAAATATACAAAATGGGAACGTAATTTAAAACAACTAAAACCAATTACGAGTGACATGCCATGGTTCAAAAAACAGGTAAATCAAGGAGATATTATGTAACTTCATGGGTTTTTCACTCAGGACAAAAGGTAATGGTCTGCCAAAATAAACCGGCTATCTCTACAAATTACATCCATTCTCCACCTATGTTGCTACAATTTGGCAGGTATAATCCCCTTCTATGGGACTACTATGCCTACAGATTTTTTTCCATATCCGATTAAGAGGAAAAAAAGTAGCTGTTGTTTGACTGCAATAGTAGTCATTTGGAACCATGAAGCCTTTTTAATTTATGAATCCCAACTTGAGTTGAACTGGGTGGCCTTTGAATCCTGGTCTAATCTTGTTGTCAGTGCACAATTCTCATACTTTTCTGTATACATCAGCCTTCCCCAACCTGGTGGCCTTCAGAGGCATTTGGACCACAACTCATGGAATTCCCATCCACAAGGGCCATTGTATGAAAATTCTGGGTGCTGCCATGCAAATGTGTCTGGAAGGCACAAGGTTGGGGAAGGGTGGTATACACAGTTGAGAATAATCATTCTTTGTGACATAGTGTAACCTTTTAACAAATATTGAAAGTCTATGCAGTCATTGCCTTAGGGAACTGTGCAAAATAACTTTCAGATCAGGCAGTTAAGTTCTGGTTTATTTATTTCAATTTGGTTTATACTACCCAAAAAAAGCAAATCAGTTTTGTACTTGGCATTAATCTTATACTATTTTTAGAAAAGGTAACTTAATCAATACAATTTAAAAACTCTTAATACTTTGACTTTCCTTTAAATAATTTTTATTGTTCCTAGCAGATAATGTGTCAAAGGTTATAAAATGAACTACACTCGTATAATGTTTCTGGGAATGTATATGTGCATTACTAGTTATGAAATCTATTTGTCTTGCAAAAACACATTTTGAAATAATAATTTCACTAATCTGAACTTCTGTTAAGATGTTGCAAGCAAGATAGAACAACCAAAAAATGCCTGGATAAATTGCTGTATTAGACTTGCAAAACAGGAAATGCTCAATCTTAATTTAGGACAGGTTTGGAAGAAAAACATTGAGAATCTGCAGCAGAATAAAGTTAGTGGCTGCAGCAGCTATAGATTCTAAATGTAGTTCCTGTGGTGCAAAAAGAAAACTGTAGAAAGCTATTAATTAGAGGAAAATGTATGCATTCTTACTGTGCCTTGAAAGTATTCTTCCAAGTTAACAGGTATAGGCTACAATACAGAAAATGGCATGCCTGCATTCATGCCCCAAGAAACTATGCATTCTAACTTTCACACAAGATTTTTAAAGTATGTGGTGA